CAAGGGATTCTCCTGCCTCAGCCTCCCGAGTAGCTGGGATTACAGGCAGCTGTCACCATGTGCAGCTATTTTTTATTTTTCATTTTTTTTGAGATGGAGTGTTGCTCCGTTGCCAGGCTAGAGCACAGTGGCCTGATCTTGGCTCACTGCAATCTCGGCCTCCTGGGTTAAAGCACTTCTCTTGCCTCTGCCTCCTAAGTATCCAGGATTACAGGCATGCGCCACCATGCCCAGCTAATTTTTGTGTTTTTGGTAGAGATGGAGTTTCACCATGTTGGCCAGCCTGGTCTTGAACTGACCTCATGATCTGCCCGCCTCAGCCTCCCAAAGTGCTGAGATTACAGGTGTGAGCCACCACGCCTGACCCTATCAATGTTGTTTTAAGCCTCTATGATTTGGGGTTGTTTATCATGCAGCAGTAGGTAAGTCATACAGATACTGGAGGTCAATCAGTGGCTCTCCTGGATCTAGAAGGTCTGAGATATCTCTGACAGCTGGTGCTGGCTATCAGCTGAGGTGCCTTAGATCTTCATTTTGCCACTCAGTAGGCTAACTGGGATTTTTCATTAGCATGTTGGTCTCAGGGTTCCAAGAGAGCAATAATCAGAAGTTTTAATGTTGCTTAAGGTGTAACCTTGGAAAGTCACACAGCATCACTGCTATAGATTGGCTATTTGACCCTCTGAACCTCATGTTGCAATTTGATCCCTGATGTTGGAGGTAGGGTCTGTTGGAAAGTGTTTGGGTCATGGGGGTAGATCTTTCATGAATCCTTTGATGCCACCTTTGTGGTAACCAGTGAGTTTTCTTCTGCTCTGTTAGTTCCCACAAGAGCTGGTTGTTGAAAAGGGTCTGGCACCTCCCTCCGATCTCTCTTGCCTCCTTTCTCACCATCTGATCTCTGCAGACTGCTTCCCTTTCCACTCCTCCCATGAATGGAAGCAGCTTGAGGCCTTTACCAAATGCAGATGCCAGCATCGTGCTTCTTGGACAGCCTTTAGAACTGTTAGCCAGATAGACCTCTTTTCTTTACAAATTACCCAGCTTCAGCAGTTCTTTTATGGCAACACAAACACAAAGTAAGACAAACACTTTCACAATATTCCACTGATTAGAGCAAGTCTCAAGGCCAGCCCAGATTCAAGGGGAGGAGAAATAGACTGCCACTCTTGTTGGAAAGAGTGGTAAAATCACATAGCAAAAGGGCATGTAGTATGGGAGAAATTCTTGTGGTTATGTTTGCAAATAGCAAACCACACCAGTTGTGAGAAAGTCCATAATTCTCAATATTTAGACTGTCCAACAAGCAGTAGATTCAGTGTATCTGACAACCTGACCCAGTGATAGAGGCTACAGTATCTAAACCTTCTCAGGAGTCTGGCCCTTGATGGGGCCCAAGTCATCTTGAAGCGACCTCAAGTCAGGATGAAGAAGGGCCAAAATGCCAACTTTGTGTCTCTCTTTACTACTTCCAACTCAGGCAAGCTGGTCCTCTCATTTTTGACCTTCTTCCAGTTCTCTGTTAGGATGAAGGCGTACTCACTGCCCAGTACTGAGGCATCCTTCCAGTGTGGCATTGCAGGTCTCATCAGCTTTCTTTTTCCAAGGTTATGTGTTTCTCGAGCCTTTAGCATGTTTGCACCGTATCCTTCTGTTTTATGAAAACTGTGATTCCCTTCTATGAACAGAGTAACTCTGGGGAATGCAGGCACAGTTTTAATAAGAGGATAGGCAGAAATGGAGTCATGAATGCTCTAAAAAGCATAATATCACAGCACTATCATTAATAACATGAACTTTAGAATCAGACAGACTTGGGTTGAATTCTAGTTTTAATCTCATTTTGAGTGTGCTGGCCTGGCAAGCTTCTAATTTTGTATAAGAAATTATTGCTTATAATTCATCTTCAACATGAGAATTGTAATAGCATTAATAGTTCATGGGTTTGTTGGAAAGATTGAGTAAGTATGAGTATATATGAAAGTGATGGCCAGGTACGGTGGCTCACGCCTGTAATCGCAGCACTTTGGGAGGCCGAGGCAGGCAGATAATGAGGTCAGGAAATCAAGACCATCCTGGTCAACATGGTGAAACCCTGTCTCTACTAAAAATACAAAAATTTGCTGGGCGTGGTGGCGCGCATCTGTAGTCCCAGCTACTCGGGAGGCTGAGGCAGGAGAATTGCTTGAACCTGTGAGGTGGAGGTTGCAGTGAGCAGAGATCGCGCCATTGCACTCCAGCCTGAGCAACAAGAGCAAAACTCCGTCTCAAAAAAAAAAAAAAAAAAAAAAAAAAGTGAAATGGTGATTTGGGCCAAAGAAAGAATGCTTAACAACTTTCTTTGAAGCTAACCTTAAGTTGCTAGACATTTCCAAGGACTGATTTTGGTCTAGATGTGGAGAAATGGTTCTACTTTAAAAGGCGAAATGCAAGATGAGATGGAAAGGTTTATCTGTCACTCTGAGGCAGAGTTAGATCTGGCCTCCTCTGTGCTCCCACAGAATTCTGTAGTGATGCCTACCAATAGCATTCATCTCTCTCTGTTGTGATGATCTGTTTCTACTGTATGACAGTTTGGGACATTAGAGTGTGAACTCTTCAAGGTCAACTACTCTGGCCTGGCGATCTTAGCATTCTAAGTCTCAGCACAGACCCCAGATTAAGAGGAGACTCCAGTGTTGGGATGGATATGTGAGTAGGTTGCCAGCCCAATCCACTGGTTGAATCACTCCCCATTTTTAAAGTTTAGTTTAAATCTCATCTGCTCTAAGAAGCTGTCTTTGGTTTTCATCTCCTGTGAGAAATCTTGTCAACTATACAACCTAAATTATAACTATTGACCTTCTCTTCCTTTAAAAAGTATTATTACTAAAAAAAAACAGTCTCTACTGTAGATTATAGGGAGAAGTGGTAACCAGTGTCACAAGTTTTCACATACGATGTGTACTGGATAAAACATTTATTAAATTCTATACAATAAGTTTAATTGAAAGTTATCATACATATTGTCTAAGAAATCTTAACAGACGTGATAATCTCAAGCAAACAGGACCCAGCAGTAAATGTGTCCTTATAGCCTATGGATAATATGGAATTTACCCATTAACATGGCCTAAGAGACTCCAAATTAAATTATATTGCATCTGTGATACTATTTTAAAGCAATTGGCATATAAACAGTGGCATTAGAATTCACAAAAGCTATCTGCTGAAATAGTTTGCTTTCCCTGAGTTGTTTTTCTAGGAGCAGCACATGAACAAACAAAATGGACAAATAATAAGATTTTTTTATGGCATTAAAAAAAAAAAAAAACTTTGGGGTGCCATTGATGTTACTAAATTTACGTTAGATACAAAAGTTGTCTGATTCATTCCACCAGTTTTCACAGTAAGCCATCGTGTTAGTGAAATGTCTGCCCTTCCTCACGGAGTTGTTGTGTGTGGACGGAGGCTAATACAGCTCTTATGGATGTCGCTGGAAGCTCGCATGGTTGTCATCCTTGCTGTGGTTTGGTAAAGGTCAGGCGTAAGGGAGGGTGTATTTAAAGTAGGGAGGAGGAAGATGGGGAAGGGTCCCTTTTCACACAGAAAAAGCAACTTCCTGGGAGTGGAGGCTGGCAATCTGCTCAAAGGAAATGAAAAGGAAATTCTTCATTTCTAAATGGTTCATTGACCCATGGTAATAAAGCAGGCCTGCCAAAGACAGATAATTATCTTTTTAAGTATCAGATGCCCTGTGGGTGAAGGCCTCCCTTCTCCTGTGTTGAAAAATGAACTCCGATTTTAAAAATACTTCTTATCCTAGTTTACCATTGACACGAATTTCCTGATTATAAGCAAAACTAATCAGTTTCCTCTTTCTTTTCCCCTTTCTCTTATGGAAATCAGCCCTCACCAGCTGAGCTCACTGTATTTCCCCTTGGGCTCTGAGTTCTACCTGTAGTGGAGTGGGGTTGATATTCTAGTGAGACTAGCAATTGCAGTATTATGGTTTTATTATGCCCCTTAGCTGCTTAGCTCCAGGCAGGAGCATGCTGTCTTAAAACAAGTAGAAGAAAGAAACAGAAAAATGTACAAGAGTTTGTTTCTCTTGTTAGTATCTAAAAACTAAACAAATATTAATATATACATTGTGTATATATACACATTTCATACACATGTGTATGGGGACTGAAATGTTATTGATTAACAGTGAATATTAATTTGCTATCAAGAAATAATCAAATTTCTACCCTTTTTTCTCTAGATTTCATTGTTTTCTGAGTCCAATAATGTAAATATGTTGCCTTGTCTAAGTTGTAGAATACATTAAGAATGGTTTGTTTGTATAACCAGACAGCCTCTTTCCTTCATGATTTACCTTCAAATGTTTTCTTGGATTATAAAAAAAATATCAGTCTGAGGAACCCTTGTCATAAATTCTTTAACCACATGGCACATCTCTTAGTTATAGATAATGCTGACTATGTATTTTCAGAATGTCTACACTCTTTTACAAATAACATAAACATCTACTTTTGTATGTTCACTGCATAGTTCTCTTATTTCTCTAAAGAGATAATTTAAATTAAAAATGTATCACCATATTCTACCTAGAGAAACCAACTGGATATTCCAGTTCCTTCTTCAACCTAGTGCTTTTGGGTGCTGAAGAGGATATAATTTTAGAATAGGGGTCCGGAGATAATGATCTAGAATAGATCTTGCCTCCTGGCATAATTCTCTCTCCACACACTTGAGTGTCTCTGAACACTAATGTCCCTTTCTCTTATGAGAAATTCTGGGTACCACAGCTTCTCCTTCAAAGTATAATTATTCATGTTTGTAAGGTTTCTTTGAACTTTTTGGAGTTCAGTGCATGGTAAATATTCGTTTCTTCATTCCTTAGTCTTTGACAGTTCAGGCTCTGGTCCAAGGGGATTCATTCCTGTGGGTATAAACTGCTTGGTAAGAACACTACCCAAAGCCAGCAGCATGGCCCTTAACAGACGTTGCTACAGATGTCCTCGTGTGTCCGCTGCGGCCAGTGGAGCGCTTCCGCGACCTGCGTCCTGATGAAGTGGCTGATTTGTTTCAGGCGACCCAGAGAGTTGGAACAGTGGTGGAGAAACATTTCCACGGGACTTCTCTCACATTTTCCATGCAGGTAAGTGTACAGATTCTTCAGAAATGATTTTTCTTCCTTTTCAAATCCCAGCATTGGGCTTGCTCCTCCTAACATCTCACCAGGAAGGCAGATATAATTATTTGTATTTCATGTAGCAGCCAAAAAAAGGCATTACTAATGCAGGACAGCCCTACTATCCATCGGCCCCAAGGTGGACCGTGGAATAGTGTCCAAGATGATGTCTGCGGCTTGTTTACCAAGCAGGTGGGAGTAATGGATAAGTGGTTTAATGGACATTCAGACATTACAGATTGCTTACTGAAACCGGGACTGGAGAAACCATTTTCATTCCATGGTAAATAATTTCTGAACACTGCACGGACCAAGCCCTGCTCTAATTCCAGGGTAGCAGTGATATGCCACTTAGGTTGGACTTCACCTTTTCTCTATCTTTAATTCACACTACAGAGATTAATCACAGATTAGTTAGAAGCTAGATTGACTGGTTGGGTGTGGCCCACTGACCAGTAAAGAAATCAGATACCCAGTCACTGGAGACTTTTAGGCAGAGGTTGAGCCAACACTTCTCAGGTTGGGAGAAGGATGTCCATGGTGAGTCATTAGTGGAGAATTGAGTAAATCCATAGTAACATACCATGAGCTCCTTCAGGACCTCTATGGAAACGGCTGGGGAAACAATGCATCAGGTCCTTCATGGCTTTGAAATTGGATGACTTTCTAATTGCCCTTTGGAAGGAAACTCTTTTTTTTTTTTTTTTTTTTTTGAGATGAAGTCTCACTTTATCGCCCAGGCTGGAGTACAGTGATACGATCTTGGTTCACTGCAACCTCCGCCTCCCAGGTTCAGGCCATTCTCCTGCCTCAGCCTCCAGAGTAGCTGGAATTACAGGCACCTGCCACCATGCCCAGCTATTTTTTTGTTGTTGTTGTATTTTTAGTAGAGATAGGGTTTCACCATTTGGCCAGGCTGGTCTTGAACTCCTGACCTTGTACCCGCCTCAGCCTCCCAAAGTGCCGGGATTACAGGTCTGAGCCACCAGGCTCGAACAAAGGAAACTCTATCAAAATGTGAGGACTCTGTACTCAGCCTGTGTGTTAAACTGAATCTTTGCCATTCTTCCTCCCCTCCCCAGCTCTCTACCATAGAGCTTCAAAGAGACCAGATAAAGAAAGCCAGTGTGCTCAGGTTATAAAGGCTCTGACTAAAAGTGCTCATTTTCTTCTCAAATAGATTTTTTTTTCCTGCCATGTCTGTGTTAAGAGTAGCCAACTTCCCCAAAAAGCCTTGTGTGTGTGTGTGTGTGTGTGTGTGTGTTTGTGTGTGTCGTGTGTCATACCATTTGAGTTACCTTTAGGCAGGTAGTTCAGCTCAAAGTGGGTTTATCAAGCTTATGTTACAAACTGTGTTTCTCTAGAGACCAAATTAAGGCAGTGAATGAAAACCTCTTTCAATGTTTAGTGAGATACAAGATAAAATCACATTTCTAAGGAAATGGTCATTGCTGGTTATGAAACATGTTTCACTACAAAGTTAATTCCATAAATGTAAGAGCTGACTTGTGATATCACCTAGATTACTTTCATATATGCAATGTGGTCAAACTTGTTTTTTTTTTAACTATAACCTACAGTAAGATATATATTTATTTCACAATCATGCATATCTCCCCTGACATGCATATATGAAATATATGCGTATACCTATATTGATAAAGGAAACCAGAGTTTCACAAAACAGTGTTTACTCCTGTGCAGACTAATAGTTTTATTCTATTAAGATCTGATTTCTGGCTGGATGTGGTGGCTCATACCTGTAATCCCAGCACTTTAGGAGGCCAAGGCTGGTGGATCTTTTGAGCTCAGGAGTTCGGGATTAGCCTGGGCAACATGGCAAAACCCTGTCCCTACAAAAAAATACAAAAATTAGCTGGGCGTGGTGGTACATGCCTGTAGTCCCAGCTACTTGGGAGACTGAGGCAGAAAAATCACTTGAGTCCAGGAGGTCAAGGCTGCAGTGAGCCACCATCATGCCATCATACTCTAACCTGGCCAACTGAGTTAGACTCTGTCTCAAAAATAAAATAAAATAAAATCTGATTTGTTTTGTTTGTAATACTGATTACAACCCATTAAGCTGACTTAATGACCCATGAATGGGTTGTGACTCTAAGTTTGAAAATCCCTGATACCCACAGTTCTGCTTAATCGTTGCCACAGCAGGTCAGGAGTTCTCACCCCATTAGTTAGGCTCCTAGAGGTAGACAGACCTGGCTAAAGTTGCAGAGGGCAAATTCTGTTTTGGAATTTCTGACTGTGGAGCCATTACTTGTTTTGCCATCTCAGCAAGCTGAGTATCTGCTTTAGTTTTGTGTATGACTGGTGACTAGGTGAGTTTGCTCATTTTCAGCTAAGCTTCAGAAGCAGAGAGAGGGAACCAGGTCAGGAAAAGGGTCCAATGAGAACGAAAACTATCATTTGTCTTCCCCAAGGTCAGAATAGCCAGAGAGGACGCTTCCCATATGAAATACCCCATATTCTTCCTTAATGGCTTATGTTTATAGCAGATTTCCTGAGTAGAAGCTTAAAGTAATCAGGCATTAATTAGACCACATCTAAAGATAACCAAAAGGTGTGAGACTTCACCTCCCCACACATTTTCAGCCTTCCCTTAATGTAATTAAAACCCTAGCCAAGAGCAAAGAGCATGAAAAGTAGCAAGGAGTTGGCTTGCTGGATAATTTATATCATTTTTATACATAACTTCTCACTTACTCTCAGGCGGAAATGGAAAACTGTCTAGTCCCACACATTTGAAGCCGATGGTCCCCACGGGAATACTATAAATTAACACACAATGAAATTGCATCTAAATTATTAATGGGTGATATTTCTGAATAAAGGAGATACCATCTATCTATTCTCACCTCTGTTGGTTTTTTTCCTACTTCTAGGATGGCCCCGAAGCCGGACAGACTGTGAAGGTGAGTGCTTATATGTGCATACAAATTAATAAGGGGCGATTATGAGAACTAATAAAAAATCACAACGAGTCATTTGCAGCACGTTGCTGTTTCATTATGCTATCTTGGAGGTCAGAGAGACCCTCAGTGTTAGAGCCATAAATCCTGACATTATAAACTGTGCCAAACAATATGTTTCCCATTAGTTTACAAGACATTTACCTTTAGTAGTAAAATTACTGTTGTGCAAATGCTAAAATAGAAACTAAATCAAGGAGTCCAGAAACAGATGTCAAAGGAGTTCATGTGAGGGAGTCTCTGGGAAATAGCATGTGAATTTTGTGTGGATTTTTGTGGCCCCGTGTTAAGCCTGGGGTGTCTTTGACACACGTTTGCTTCTTTACATAGTCTGCTTTTGCTTCCTTGTTCTTGAGATTGTTCTTGAGTGACGTGATAACCACAGCAGTAGCATCAAGGTGCCTCCCTTCCTTCCTGTCTTTGTGCTTCTCTCTGTTCTTCTCTTTACCCCCACACCTACTCTTTTCCTCCCTGTGTACTTAATACCAAAGTTCAAACTTAATGGAGTCAGTGGAGCTCAAAGCTGGGTTTTTAAGTGTGCTAGGAGAAGAAAGGACCATTTATTAGGATAGTCTCTGTTTCTGTAGTAAAAATAAAATAATAAAATCCTGGTTGATTCAGAAGCTGGGTTTCAGCTCTTTTTGTGCAAATGCAAATTCCTTTGCAGGTAGATGCTGTACCTAGGTCATAGAAAAGGCTCTGTTTTTGGAGCTAGAAGTCAGAAGCAACTCAGGGTGGGATGTTAATGTCGTACTTTGTTGCAGTAGAGTTTAATGGTTCGAAGACTAGGTGTGAGTGGATAAGGGGATGCCCGCACAAACAATGCCAAATAAACCTAAGTTCTCTTTTGATCTTACTTTACTTTTGACTTTAACACAGCTATTCTGGGACTTTAAAAATAGAATCTCTAGGCAGTACCTCTAAGGAGTGAAAGTTATATAGGGACTGACACCGCATGGGCCGCCAAATTCCTTATCATAAAAAAGGGTTAGTCTCCCCGTTGCTCTAGACACAGGATGTGGTGATAGACACAGAGACATTCAGCTTTCCTCTGGCCCACTGTCTCACCCCCATGTGAGGCTCTAAATATACAGATGCAAAGAAAGGATTTAATACCTGTGGCTTCTTTTTGAAATCAGTTCTTGAAATGCAAACCATGAATGTTTAAACTTGCTTCCCAGGTTTTTTAAAACTCAGTAGTTCACATATAAATTCTAACTCTACCGGATTAGTTAGATGCACTATGCAATATCTATTTGATGGAATTCCTTCAGCCATTGAAAGTGATACCGTAGAGGCACAGCTAGTGACATGAGAGAGTGCACAAACTGGATTAAGTGGAATGCACAGAATGATAATAGGTACGTAATAAGCATAGCTAAAACTTATATGAATAGATAGGTTATATGATCTCAGAATTTCATTTAGCTAGTCTAAAGGGGGATGGAAAATATTTGCTATACAACAGGCTCTGAATAGAAGTAGAAAGTAGATTATTGGTTGCCAGGGACAGGGACTGGGACAAGGAGGGAATGGGGAATGATTCCGAATGGGTACAAGGTTTCTTTTAGAGTAATGAAAACGTTGTGGACTTAGTGGTGATGTCTGTGCAACATTGTGAATATGATAAAATCACTGAATTGTACACTTAAAAAGGGTGAATTGGGGCTGGGTGCGGTGGCTTACATCTGTAATCCCAGCACTTTGGGAGGCCAAGGCAGGCGGATCACGAGGTCAGGAGATCGAGACCATCCTGGCTAACACAGTGAAACCCTGTCTCTGCTAAAAATACAAAAAATTAGCTGGCATTGTGGCACGTGCCTGTAGTCTGAGCTACTCAGGAGGCTGCGACAGGAGAATCGCTTCAACCCAGGAGGCGGAGGTTGCACCAAGCTGAGATTGCAGCATTGCACTCCAGCGTGGTGAAAGAGTGAGACTCTGTCTCAAAAGAAAGGGTGAATTTTATGATATTTGAATTATCTCTTGACTAAAAATAATCAACACACATAAAAAACAAATAAGCATTAAGTCTAGCTGGGCTGATAACCATGGCTATAGACTGTGTAACTCCAATAGTAATTACTTTTTGAGGTCTCAATTATCTGGCCAAAATTTTTGTTAGCTTTGATGGTGATGATGATGGACTAATTCTTAACATATCGTACTTACATATGAATTGTTAAATGTGGTTATCATTATCGCCACCATGATTATTTAGCTTAAGTTAATTTTTTAAAAACTATTCTGTTTTTTAAATCAGCAGATTATGTTGTCTTGCACATCTTTGAATTGTTTCCAGCCTGATCACAGAAGTCCCCTGTTTTGAATGAATAGGGGCTGTCTAGAATCATTTGTAGAATATGATGGTTAAAAGAAAAACCACCATACACACACACCCCCACCACACCCATATAAAATCCCAGTGAACAATGTAGGTTCCAAAACTGTCCTTTTAGACGAAGTATCCGTATCTAAAGTTGTCACATCTGTTTTTCAAAATGTGATCTTTCTATCACCTGCATGAAAATTAATTTTGATATCAGTTAACAACAACAAAAAGTTGATTCTCAGTTCTTATTCTAAATCTCCTTATTTAGAATATTGTGGTTGGGGACTGGGAATCTTCATTAGTAACAAGCACATCCCATGAGAGATATTTACCAGCCACAGTATCATATGATGATAAAATAGTAAGTGGCAATGGCCACATAATTATGACCCCTGGAAGCTGGTCTTGCAGTAGCCAGCCCCTCCAGGGGACAAAGCAGCATCTTTAATATTCTACTGTCCGGTTGTGAAAACTGCAATTCAAGACGCTGAGCATTTCATATTTTGAAATTCACAGTTGCATATTTTAAGGCAGCATTTGACAACCTGCCATAGAAAGCACAGTGACTGTTTCTCTTCATCTTTGCCTCTGTGTCTCATTCTTGATATTCTGCCTGATCCCTGGGTCCTCAACCATTTTTGTCTCATGTTGAGTGGTAATAGCAATAAGCCCAGTAACGGTCTTTTCCCCTGAAGCAACTGTTGTTATTGTTAATGAAGGTGCACCGCTGAGTTAGCCTCTTGAACATGATACCACTGTAGGGTGTTTTGTTTCAGGGGCTTTAAATTCTGCTCTGCAAAGAACAAGGGTGGCCGCGTTTAGTCAGTAAGGCACTTGTAGTCAGGAAAGGGAAATATCGAAGTAAAAAAGTGACCTCTTATTTCACAATTGATTATTAACTCTCCTTCTTGGGTTTAAAAGTAGTAGAACCCTGCCATCCACAAGGTGATTATTGCAGCAATTTGATGTCCTGCAGGCTTGAGAAATAATCTTTTTCTTTCATCTTCAACCATACAGATCCAGAGAGCCTCCCTGACCCTTCTTCTGAAGTAGCTCTCCTAAAGCCCATATTCTCCATCCTAGGGCATGATTTGATTTCTCTCAAGGCATTCTTCATTGTGTTTTATTTGTTTGGTTATGCATCTGTACCTCTGTCTTTTCTCTAGTTCTTTGAGACGGTAAGCTTTGTGAGGACTTGGATTTTATCATTGTTTATGACAGGTCTCAGGGCACGCTACCTCCAAATATGCTAGCTCTGCATACTGAGTATTTTAAGGTGAAGGAAACTGAGAAAAGTACAGAAGCAGGAAAATCACTCTCTGACCTTCCTCCATTTGTCTTCCCTCAAGTGCACCATAAAAGAATTCTCTGACATACTTCCCCTGCAAATAGGTCATAAGGCCCTCATTCCAGAGGAATTCTGCCCTATGCTCACATGCCAAGAAGAATCTGAACACATGGGTCTTGCCAAGTTTTCCCCAATTCATTATCATCAAGTCATACTCTTTTATCTTCCAATCATCCTTCTGTATAACTGTCCATAAAAATATACAGTTTTGTCTCCTGTTTCTTTGGGTCTTTATTTCAGAAGGCTCCCATGGCACATAAAACTTATATTAAATACATTTGTTAGGCTTTTCTCTTATTAATCTGTATTGTGTTGCAGGGATCTGAGCCATGAACCTGGCAATGGATAAGGAAAAGATACAGCTTTTTCTCTCCTATATTTCGTATGGCTCTTATGTGTGGGGAAGAGAGTAAAGATGATAATGGAACTTTGCTTGTTGCTGTTTGGAACGAATCTCATAAGTTTCAAACTTTAGTTAACAGATACTAGAAGATGATGTGTATGTATATTCCAGCATGCGGTCAGGGGTACTCCTGGAATCTTTACCAGAAGTCTCCAATATTCCAGGTTTCACTAATGAAGACCAAAATTTCCATTAATCAAGTTCTCAAATCATGTTCCAAAATGTAATTCCATCTAACCAAACCATTAGGCAATATTCATTCCTTTAGAAGGGATGCTGCTTAATGAGTTTAATGTGAGCTATTTTTTAGAACAATGAGTATGTACATCTTTGGGTGGGAGGACGATTTAGGTATATTAAAGAGAGATTTATACCAGGCAGGTAACCTGGAATCTCGTAAGAACTATTTATAGATCACGCTTGGTTACACTCTTCTATGTTTATGGTACTTGAATCTTCTACTTAGAAGATTTAATTTTATAGTATTAATGCTGTGAGAAGTAGCTGTTAATAACTGTTGAGATACTAAAAATTACTTTTTAGGTTGCTGCAGAAGAATAAGATAATTCTTTATAGAAGTATAATTCAAGAATTGAATAAGATAAAAAGGAAGTTCTTCTGTTCACTGATAAGTTTCTGTGGTTCTAGAACAAATTTTCGACCTGAAAATGTGGTCATCTTTCAGATTCATGAAAATTGTGACATTTTATCTCTTAATTAAGTCTAGTAGTTGACATGCTTTAGCATGTCCCTCAGAGGTTCTTTTAGGAATATTAGCTCTACTAACTTCCTAACTATGTACCTATGGATCAGCCTTATAGCAACTCTGAACATCTATTTCCTTGTTTTTTTGAATGTTGAAA